TCAGTTATCACACATGCATTGTACAGCACTCCAGAAAAACACTCAAGAACTTCCAACTTCAAATATCTTATGCCATATATCATGTAACTCCCTAGAGCAACTACTCTGATACCATAAATGTAACATCCCCGTCTCGAGCTGGTTCAATTAACATACATATGATACAAACAGAAACAACGGAAGACTTAACTTACAAAAATACGAGCTAACTTTTTCTTTTTCTTTAATCCTTTTTCACAGACATATCACATTGCATACTTCTTCTAATTTAATTCTTATTTGACGGAGACGAAAATCGGATAGAGTAACCTCTGTAAATTGGACAACTGGGGATTTGCAAATCCCACCCTCAAGGTACCCTGATAAACAATTTATACAGTATATGCTTTCAGACATACCAGATATTCATATAGGATCATAAACCCATCCATTGGCGCATGCATAACTTGGTTCGGTGCCACTATGTCTAACAACATGCATTCCAACACATAAACATAAACTGAATACTACATCATCATATCAACATGCCTGAATACTCAAATGTACATGCATCCAACTAAAAGACATGTACAAAACATATACAGACCATATACAAAATAAAGGATTAGACATCATGATCACCAAATGAATAGAACACTATACAACAATACATGTTCTCCAAAACTAACATCTATAATAAATAGTAGCCACCGGCTACCCAGAACTCCATATCCTCATACTAGTACCTCTAGCCACGGGTAGTGTCCTTGTCCCACGAGGGATCTTCAATTAACTGTGTTCCTGAAATCATATCCTCAAACGGGGTTAGAGACGAATCTCTAGTAAGCTCCAGGTTTATAGAGAACTCTCCATACCCTGGGCTCACTTCCTGCATGACAGTTGTAACACCCTGTATATATCTGGTAATGTTATCATACTATCGTATTAACCAGCGCTTAATTAAAAATGCGGAATATCTTTTTCTTTTCGATTATGATGGTCATTATCATTACCAACTTGCGTATTAATCAATTAATAAAACATCGCCTGTATGTAATTGCAATAAAATAGCTAACTGAAGTACCTCAACATAGATAATAAAAGTGTGTCTCTAGAAATCACGGAACTACCACAAGTAGGTCGGACCAACTAGCAGGTTATACAACTCCAATCTAAAAGTACTAACATAAACTGTCATGGACAATCCCCATGCTCACTCAAATAAGGCAACACGCCCAACATCAGTCTCAACAACAACATAATCATGAATAACGGAAAAGATAAACAACATCCAAAACCAGTCATGGCAGCAATACAGCATAATATCATAATCAGCTAAGCTCTGGCCTCCTGCCGCCAGAGGCATCAGTCACCATACTACCTGAACCTGAAATAAGCATTCCCCAAACGTGGGGTGAGATCCCTAAACAAGAAATCTCAGTAAGACAAGGGGTCCTCAAGGATCTTCCACCCCAAGCTCACTTACATGTGCAATGTAATAACCCAAAAATCTTGTACTCGATATTAGCCTAATGAAATGAAATGAAAAGGGATCAAGTCCATATTCAGTGAACGAGTAGCTTTGAATAAGCAACATTAGTCCTAAGTTAGAACCCACTTTAAATAAGATAATTAATAACTTAGCCCAATGTGGTTTAAAGCCCAAATAAAGTTAAAGCCCAACCTACTTAAGAATGTAACTACGTTAAAGGATTCAAGCCCAAAGCAATGCAAGCCCATTTTATAAGAAATGGCCCAATTAGTATCTAGACCAAGATTCAAGCCCACACCACCTAGCCTTGACCCAATTACAAATGGTCCAACACTTATTAACTTAATGGGCCAAGACACTCACCAAGCCCAACCCAATTCAAAGGAACAACCCTAGATGAGGTGTCATCACATGATTGGAGGAATTTGAATGAGCTCCACCTCCCCTACTATGGAAAACTCGGCCATGACAAGAAGAAAAGGGAGTGGTGTTGCTTTCCACACTCCCTAGGTGCCACTTAAGGAAAGAATGGACAAGTAAGAGCTTGAGTAAGACACACTCCAAGCCTTAACCATGCATGTGATCTTCTCCAAAAAGCAACTCACCTTTTCTCCTTACACACCTTGGAGGGCGCACTCATGACAATGAAAAGGGAAACTTTCTTCTCCCACACTCCAAGCCATGCATGACACATCAAAGACTCATGAACCCAATACTTTCCTTATTCATGATTAAAAAGTAGATCCACTTTTCCCCTCCCCCTAGGCGAAATTGTCATCATGAAAGGAGTCAAGAGCATGACTTGTCTTACACACTCTATATTGAGTGTTGCACACTCAAAGCTACCTTATTCAACCTCCCTGCATTGGGAAGAACACCATGACACCTTAAGCTCCCACCCTCCCTCTTTATGCGAACCCCTCATCACTTGGTGCATGACATGGAGCTTGCTTGTTTTACACACCACACATTGAGTACCCTACACAACTATGACACACACTAACCAATGATCTTATTGGTGAATCAAAGTTGAACCTTGCTTTCTCTACCCTAGGCGTGAGATGCAAGAAGGAAACCCTCAAAATCCCTTCCTCCCCTAGATCCACGTGAAATACTTCATGGAAAGGAGATGGAGTATAGAACACTCATGCATGATTACCTCTCCTCCCCATGCGCACACCTCCTCAAAGGACCAAGGAGAATAAGTGACTTATATGACACCTTGAGTGTCCTACACTCTACACACTCTCATTACCCCCTCCCCATGCTTATGACAACCTTGAATAATGTGAGGAGACTTGCTTACCCCACACTCAACCAAGACCTAGCCTATCCTATCCTAGGCATGATGATTAGGGAGACTTGAATAAAAAGGTGTACAAACAAAGACCTCTCCCTTTCCTAGTCGTACACTACCTAAAGAACCAAATCAAGGACACACTCCCTCACTTCTAGCGTCGGCCACCCACTCATAAACAAGAAACAAGTGAACCAACACCTCTCCTCTGCTCTTAGACTTATGTAAAGAGAGATTAAGAAGTGGTTGGAAGCAACTCTCAATCCTAGAAGACTACTTGAAGATCAAGTTGGAGTTATATTTTAGATATCATCTTTGAGGTAAGATTTCATGAGCCCTTCATCCCTTCAAGTGAGTAGAATGAACTCTAACTAGTTTATATGACTAGATCTTGGACTAATAAAGCCATGCATGCATCTTTCATCTTTAAAATCACCTCTTAAGTATGTCATCTCTAAATGGCCGAACCTCAATGGTATGCATGCACCCTCTAAATATTCACAATATTTACTAAGCAACCTAACCCTAAATGGCCGAATCTATATGTACCCGACTAGATATTGAATATGTTCTTTAAGGTAATATGAAAAGTGTTGAAGTAGATGTTTTAAACAACATGTAGGAAAGCATTACTTGAAGAATCACCACCTAAATGGCATTAACCCTAAATGGCCGAACTTGATGAGTATTAGACCCATGAACATGTTGTCAAAATTATCCCTAGGCATGCACTCTCTAAATGGCTGAACCCTAATAAGCCTAAAAGGGAAATATGTGAAGGTTTTCTTAATACCATGATGTGTGGCCGAAATGTATGCCATAGAATATGACTTATGCATGAAAACAATTAGTAAAAATTATCTCCTAGGCATTTTTAGAGAGTCGAACCTATGACATGAAGAATATTAAAGTTTAGATCTTTTAATTTTAGAACCATGTACTAAGGTTGAATATGTGACTAGGACAAACCAAAGCTTGAAAAGAGATCCAAGATACTAGGACCTTCATTTGGCCGAATCCATCACCTACGGGAAGAATTTACAAAGCGAAAAAGTGTAAGTGATTTATGGTTGTTGAAGCGGCTACCCTGTGGTTGCCACCCCTTTATGTTAAAGTGAGGTTTGACTGCAATATGTTATATGATGCATTACATGATATGTTTGGTTGTTTGGAACTAATGTTTATTCATGCAAGTTTTGTAAGATGGCCTGTGCACTAATACCACAGAGGCAACCTGACGAGGACCCTGGGTATTCGTCCATAAGACCATGGAGAGTAATTGCCATGGCAGGATTGGTATGATGATATGAAAACATGATTACTTTCCAAACTATGTTTCCAATGTTTTGCCATTCTATTATTGTACATGTTATTATGTGACTATTGCAGGAGTAAGCATCATGGTTTGGAGGTTGCTCCAACTGTGAGTCCTTACTGAGACCCCCAATCTCACCCCTCTCTGGGGAAACCCACTTTCAGGAAAAAAATGACCAAATGGGTAAGGCAGGGAAAGAGGCTGGTACGAGTTGAAGAGGAACCTGCGCAACCACGTGCAGTTGATGATGACTCCAAACTATTGGAGATATTTAGGAACTTACTAGCCGAAGGAAAGCTCTTGGAGGCAGACTATCTTATATCAGCTCTAGCTGGGCCCATGTGGCTTGAAGAGGCACCTTCCTAAGGGTGTACCTAAGTTCTAATTTGGGATGACTGTAATACACTATGCCACTTAGACTATTTTGAACATCTTATATGCCTTTGAAGTACGATATTTTGGGATGTTTATGTTTTATGGACTTATGAATTTAGTAGGAAAGATTAAGTAACATAAGTCACTATCCGCATAAGAAACTTAAGTAACTACCTACTGGGTAGTAGTCAACACTAAAATTATGATCATGTAAGTGAGCCCCTAAAATAACGCATAAGTATAAGCAGGGTAACCAAGTAGAGATTAACTTGTAAGTAAACCGTAGACAAAGAAAGAGAGAAACTCATGACTAGAGGAATAGATAAGTTAGGGAAAAGAACGAAATTTATTCCCATTAGTAAATCTCAACTTAACCACGCTTAAGTACATGGATTCCGCGCATTGAATGTCAAGCAATGTTACACCTTTAATGGCCTTATTAAGGGTGTTACATTTTTATGGTATCAGAGCAAATTTCTGATCTTTAGGATGAGAATTACACTCTAACTCCTTTATTTTACTTGTAACATATGTGCAACATTATGCCTCCACGTAGGGTACCTACTCGCAGTAACCCGCAAGGACAAGAGGACATACAAGGCCAGATTAACACCCTACGGGACACCATTACCCAGATGCAGACTAATGCAGGGGAAATGTTTCAAAATATTTTGAATGAAATCAGGCGCCACCCTCACAACGCGACCAATAATAATAACGTCGCAAGTGGCTCAGGCACTGGAGGAACCGGTAGTGGTGGACCCCAACCGCAGCCAGAACATGGAGCGGCTGGCCGAAATAATCAAGATCTGCTGCTGACATTTAGGAAGCACAAGCCGCCCTCCTTTCAAGGAGGACACGATCCAATAGTAGCTGTGCAGTGGCTACAGGCCATGGACAAAATATTCAGAGTGGTTCAATGCACCGATGATCAAAAGGTGCTGTTCTCAGTGTATATGTTGGAAGGAGACGCCCATCATTGGTGGGCTAATGCGTCCCAACCCTTGGTGATGCAAAATGTGGCAATTTCGTGGGCCATGTTCGAAGAAATGTTCTTGGAAAAGTATTTCCCGATGTCAATCCGGGATAGCAAGCAAGGCGAGTTTGATCGACTCGTGCAAGGAACCATGACGGTGGATCAGTATCATGCTAAATTCAACGAACTACTCCGACTGGAAACTTACCGAGGAACTATGCCCATGCCAGACTTTCTGGCAGCAAAATTTCAAAGGGGTTTATCCGCTAGGATTGCGGAACTGGTAGCTGGCAACGACCCCTGTGACCTAGCCACCCTAGTGAACAGATGTTGAAAGGTGGAAGCAATAGGATTGCAAGCAAGGAAGCCTGCAGAAACCAGCGGAACTGGAACCAAAGCTCCGATGGCTAAGAATGGACAATGGAGAGGAAAACGCGAAGGCAGACCATGGCAGCCCAGGCGTGATGGTAACAAGTTCAAAAGGCCCGGGAATCCTCGAGAAAATGGCAACAGGGCTCCCAATTGCCCCAAATGTAAGAAGGCCCATTTCGGCAACTGTTTGAATGGCTCAACACAATGTTACAAGTGCGGCCAAGAAGGACACTTCATCAAAGATTGTCCACAATGGGGAGAACAACAGACAGCTGCAGAGGCGCCAAGAGTGGGCAGAGTTTACACGCTGGATCAACATGGCGGACCAGGCGGCCGAACTAGTTAAAGGTACGATCAAT